GCCCAGGATCCGGCAGACCCGGCCCCTGGGGGGGGGGGGGGGACTGAGTGTGGGCCCACTGCAGACCACAGGTTGAGGACACTGGACATAGCCAGTTGTCATCACCAGGGATCTGGGTTTTTCCATTTTCCATGGAAAAACAGAGGAAACCATGGATTTCCCAGTTTTATCAGAGAAAACATGGATTTCCCCTTTTAGCAGGAAAACCCACAGATTTCCCTCTTTTGCAAAGAGCTCTGTGGGCTGGTAGAGTTCCAGCCTGCAAGAGCTGTTTGCAAAAATGGTGGGGAAAACCCCAGCCCTGTCTGAGGCTTTTAGTCAGTCCCAAGTCTTGGGTCAGGGTTACTTTCCTTCTGGAGACTGTGAAGTGGTAAGTGTGGAGATTTGTTGTGGGGTTTGCAGCAGCTGGGAGCTGGGGCGGGGGAGGGGTTGCAGCCAGCTGAGGGGTTTTGCAGCTAGTTGGGAGGTTTGCACTCAGTTGGGAGCAGGGGTTTTGTAGCCTCCCCACTTCATCCGGAGGGCCCCTGTTACTTCAAATTGCCAATAGCTCAAATCAAGAGCGAGACCTTAAAAATGGGGATAAGGCAAAATGCCATGTTTATTGATTACATGAAGCAATTACATAAACTTGAACACACCAGTCATACAAACAGACACATACAGATAAAACCACTCCAGTAAGATGGAGTTACCAGCAGATGTTACTCAAAATTAGCACTGGATGGTCAGGTCCAGGCTTACTAAGGGTATAAGATGGGGTATACAGGCATGCATGCCTGTGCTCCATGAGGTTGCAGAATTGATTCCCCATCTTGGCTTGTCTGCATCCCACTTTTACAGGGATTTCAAGTCTTTGTTCAGCATTGGGGTTTTTCCATGCTGTTTTTAATTAGAGATTGTTTCTTTTGGTTATCTCAACTTAGGTAATTCCAGTAAACTTGAGGTAATTCCAGTAAAGTTGGTTATCTCCACCTTGAAGCATTATGTAGTCAGTATCTTTGCTTTGAAGCATTGTGTAGTTTAAATGGCAGGATATGCAAAATTCTTTCTTCTTACTATCTTCTTTGCACCTGATTACAGATGAGTTCTTCAGCCATCCATTAATTAGCTTGATTAGTTTACTGTCTGGTAACTTATACATTGGTGCCTTGTTGCTTACACAATCAATTAAATCTTCTGTTTTCATTCAAATAGTTACCATTCTTTCACCCTCTCAGACAGACACTCATGTACACATGGCATACGAAGTTCATTTACTCATGTCAAGCAGGGAGCAAGCACAAAATGGAGTTTTAGTTGTTCATGCAATCATAGGGATTGATCAATTCAATACTATTATCATTTAAACATAATAACTAATATGCAAAAATTCATACTACACCCCGCAGGCTGCAAAGCCTCACTGCCAGCTGGCTGCACATAGAACCCACTCGGTGCTATCGACCCCCCTGGGATCGGCTCCTCCATATGCAGTTTCCATTAAGGGCCAATAGCTGACTCTCAGTCCATATGCAGCTGGCCGGATGGCCACTCCACATCTTCCACAACACCTCCCTACTCTTACAGTCCCCAGCTTGTTCCCCATGGGAGTGTTTCCAGTGTCTGCACATACGGATGTATACACACATGTACACCCTCACATGTGCACAGGGGTATGCATACAGATGCACACATGCATAAGTGCACACATGCACATATACAGATACACACATGAAAGAGGGGCACCAGGATGGCTGAGGAGACTGTAGGGGAGAGTGAGGGCACCAGCAGGGCCATGAGGGCTGTGGGAGGCCTTTAACTTTAATCACAGATTTGGAGTTTTTTATCAGAGAATTTGCAATTTTTTATCATAGAAAATCAGGGTTCCTGGTCATCACCAATTGGAAGCCCATGTACAGCTGCCAGCCTCACCAGCACTAGATATGTGGTAAGTCCTGCACTGGGGGGGAGTGCGGGGGGGATCCCAGTCCCAGCCCATGCCCCTGGCCTTGGATCCTGCCCCCACGCCCTGCCCACCTGCACTCCCTTGACATCAGTCCTCCCCCACCCCACAGCACGCAGAGAGGTGGGACACAGTTCAGAACTTCATTGATCAGCCTGTGTCCCTGCAACTGGGTGATCACGGGCCTCTCACACACCAAGGAAGGTGGCAATGCTGGTGGCAAAGTCCTCAGCAGCAGGGGGAAGCAAAATGTAGCACTGCCACAGGTAGCCCTCCAGGTGGTGGTGGAGGTTGTGGGGCAGCCTGGACTTGCCCCCTGTGCCATCATAGCTCAGGATCCTGAACCAGGAGTGAAGGTGTGCTCACGGCACCAAAAGGATCATCAGAAGCGGGGCATAGTGGGTCACCTCTCTGCCTACACAAATAGCTCATTTTGTATCACCTGGGGCACATGCAGCAGGGGCACATCAGGGCACAGCAGCAGAAGGCAAAGGGGCCCTGGACAGCCTTCTGGGACTGGCAGCTGTGTACTTGCTCCTCACTGCCCAGACCATGTTCAGGGCCCTCCAGGACCCCTGGGTCCTGCCCATTGCCTCACAAAATGGCCCTGCCTGGCCCTGGGAGGAGGCCATTCAGCACCTCCTGTCTGTTGCAGCCTCTGGCCCAACACCTGCTCTGCACCACCTACCTGGGCCCAGCTCCACCACTTGCTCCAAGGCCATGAAGTCAAACAGGCAAAGGTGCCAAATGCAGCACCATGGGTGCACTGGCTCTGGACTAAGGCAGGCAGAAGTGCAGTTGCCTGCTGCTAGGAACAAGCTCACTGCATACTGCAGTAGTTGTGGCCCCTGGACCAGCAGGGAAATGGATTGAGGCTGGAGTGTTGGGCTCTGGCCCCAA